TTCGGGTCGGCAAGAAAATGAGATTCCCGATTGCCGACGTCGTCGGATTTGTGTTACGTCCGCGACGATATCTCTCGTGCCCGTGCCCAGAGTATGTCTTACCGTGAATCCGATTGCCGATAATTACGAGCGTTGCCTTCATTAGCCGAACGACCCGCGCATTTTCCGCCCGTTCATCGCGATCTTCACGAATTTGCATTCGACATTTTTCGTCTTCCAAAATCAAATACAAAAATTGGATATATAATTATATCGAAATCGAAATATATCAATGTGATTATCAAAATAACTTATGTCAAAAACATAACTGCATTTACATTTAGTCATAAACTTAAAAAATTAATCATGCTTTACATAATACTTTCTTATAGTACTCACAAAATATACATGATAGTCATAAAACTTTATCATAAAACTGTACCATTAGAAAAGATACGAACACACAGATAGTAATAAGTATATAATATATATAGTAATATTTAAAATATTATTTGACAAAATCCTTAATATATAATAATTTTTTAATACATAAAAATACAAAAGTTTAATTATCTTAACATTATAAATGCGACTTGTGTCATTTTAATAATCACGTGAAAATATTATAAATTTTGCAAACATGTAGATTCAAGTTATATTAGTAAGTAAACTTTAAAAGTCTATTAAAGAATAACAATGCTTGGAATGTATGCGCGATATGCTTTGTCGATTAATGTGATTTGTGTGTGTATTTTCTAGCAAAAAGCATGTGCCGCTGGTCGTTTAAAAATTAATATCGCAAAAGGGCATATTTTTACGGGCGCTACGTTTTGGGCGAAATATATCGCATAGATTTTGACCGCGCTCCAGCAAAAACATTTCGTGAATAAAAAGCCGTTGGAAAAATATTAACTTAGCACAATAAACATTTTATTTACTTGCTGCTCGATTACGTCAACACGCACGCGTTCGTTCAAAGAAAAAGTTTCATCCCAACTGTGTTGTCGATCGTGTTATTTTTTTCAAAACTTGTTTTCAACAAGATGTTGTCAATAGTTTTCGTCGTTGAAACAGCGCGATAAACAGAACTGCTTGTTATCATTAATTAACCAAGGAAGATATTCGTTAACATTAAAAAAATTGCTTAATAAATTTTTTCCAAATATTTTAACAAAGTTTTAAACACACTTGGCGCGGCATTATCACTATTAAGATCAATAAATGTTCTAGTTTTTTCGGCAATGCTTGAAATAGCCGCAAGAAATTGAACTTTAATTGCTACTCGTTATATAAGCATTAAAATTCGAAAATGTTTTGATGAATAATAAATGATAAATTAATTGCTAAGCATACATCTGCGAAACAAAAGATTAATTAGTACAAATGCAATTATGTAAGAGGTTAAATAGTAAACAGGTTAAAAAATAGCGTGAGTAAAACAAGCAGCACAAATAATTAATATTGCTATAGAACACAATACAATTTGACAGATCTATACAATTTGACAGATCTAAAATTACATTGCAGCATTTGATGTTGAAAGAAGGATCTGTTTACGCGAAGACGCGAGGAATGTTCTTTGCGATGCAAAAGTATACAGATGCAATTATAAGTTAAATAGGTAACAGGTTAAAAAATAGCATGAGTAAAACAAGCAGCACAAATAATTAATATTGCTATAGAACACAATACAATTTGACAGATCTATACCGTATCTAAAATTACATTGCAGCATTTGATGTTGAAAGAAGGATCTGTTTACGCGAAGACGCGAGGAATGTTCTTTGCGATGCAAAAGTATACAGACGGCGGAATGAAACTTTAAATGCATCATATAATCGTCGCGAGAAGAGTCTGAATGTATACGGCACGTACATTGATTAGTCGTCGAGGAAAAGAATGCGAATTCCATAAATGTACACGTGATTCTTTTTATTATAAATGAAATACGCGCATAAATATATATTCGAGTTTTCCTTAATATATTTATAACATTTCACCTCGTTTCAAGAAATTGCACTGGAGCAAACAAATATTCTGAACAAAATAAATATATCGTAAAATTAATTTCCACAATTCAAAATTGTTTTGGATAATTAAAAATTCACGTAATGTAAAGACGATATAATAAAACTATTGATATATATCAAAACAATTTTGAATTTTCGTTTTTTTTTTTCTCGCACACGCAAATTATATTTTTATCTCGGTATAATAAGCGAAAAAGGAGGACGTGCGTCACTCATGTCATCGGCGTCACCTTCGTGTCTCGACATAACAAGTCTTGATCGGGCAAAAACCATTCGATCGTGAATTATTGTGCGACGCTGAGAAATTGTTTGCAGTCACCAGAATGACACGTGACGCCAACCATGGTCATGACACGTATCCAGAGATAGGAATAAATATTCGTATATGAAATTTGTTATTGCACTATATATGAGAGAACATCTATAACCAGACAGTCTCAGCTTTTTCTCTTTTTCTCTCTGTAACCCGCGAACTTGTGCATCAAAGTTGCATCGCGCAATAGCATTGACGGCGTACAGAAGGCAAAAGAACGAAACACCATCTCGGGTGACGATTTTTTATTAACGGTTGGTCGTTGACGTGAAAATAAAATACGACGGACCTTCGCCATGAAATGGAAAAAAATTATTCATACATTTTTCAAAAAACAAAAGCGATGCATGCGAAGAAATCGACGGAAGATCATTTCACGCGCGTGTTTTCCTCTCTTTTTTTTTTTTTTCGTTTGTCGATAAATGTCAATTGGCTATTAATTAATACCTCCGACGAAAAAGTTCACAAAATGTTTTTATTAACGCTTAAAATAAATGCATCGAAGAATATAAATAATGTCACATGGAATTATATTTTGATAAAAAACGTAAGCAGAATACCCGTTAAAAATGTACATAGTTATAAATTAAAGTGACCATTCCATATCAATGGTCGTTCACCGATGATTTCGCCACACTAACAAATTGGCACTCTAGTTGCCCGTAAAAAAAGCACAAACGTCGTGTATTTCAGGGATATATTCGTATATCGAGATGATTTACCGCGAATGGGTTACAAACAATTCAAACACGTCCCGCAATTCTTTTCAACCCTTTTTCAACTTTCGTCAAATCGGTCACAGTGGGAAAAAGAGGGCCAGTCGCCAGTTCGTTCGTGAGATATTATCGCGCGTGTGCACGGATCATTTAACTTTTAAAACTTACGATCTAATTTTTACGAGCATCGGCCAGTTCACCATCGACTAGTACACGCCCATTAAACCGTGTAACAAATTTGTAAAACTGGATGGTTGCTATGCGCAAATTAAATCACACGAGAGAGATGTATCGATCTCTGTTATACAATTTCACAGAATAGAACAATCTGATTTATAGCCGACAATGTATGTAATTATAATACATCGTCAGTGACACATACACACACACACACAGACTCTAATTTTATATGATGCTCCATACGAGGCCATGACCCATTTATTCCGCCTCGCATGGCGCGCGAGTGGAAATTATTGAACGCAAAGCAAACGGAGAATAGTTACGCGCGCTGTCATAAACTGAGTCCCCGAGAGATTAAAGCCGATTACCCCGCGAGAGAGATGCATACGCGTTATCGGGCATAGCCTCAGGTGTTGCAGCTACTTCAAGTTAAGTCGGTCTTGTCACACGAATGTGCTCTACGTGTGTCATCGATAATTGCGTGGATTTAACGTCGGTAAATGCACGACGTTGAATATCAATCTCTCCGCAAATGCGGTTGCCACGTCGGTCAGAGTAATATTAAAGCTTGCATTGCGCCGCTCTCTTGATTAACGGAATTAAATGTTACGCACTTTAACTTTGCACGCACAAACGAGCACAGCTCTTTCTGTCATTTCGATATGTTAAATTGATGGGAAAGTTTCTTCATTTTTTGACATCAAAAACACATGCGAAAAACAAAATTATTTGCCCACCATTTCGATAAATCGTTAGTAGAAGCTCGGAATTAAAAAATCGGAATTATTAAAAACGGTTAAAATTTAAATCATTAAAAATGAACGAACGGAAATATTTTGTAACAAAAACCCACTTATAAAGAATAGACTTTCAAATTTAATTGGTACATTTGGGTCGGGGGGGTGGGGAATTCGCGGTTGCGACCGCGATCGATCTGGCCGCGTTCGAGAGGCATTTCATTACGCTCGGTCTATATTAAAATCACGATTTCAAGGCTTCATAGTTGCTTATAAAAAAAAATACGGGCGAAAAGAATCGTCGATGAAATGATCCGGTTATAAAGGAGCACTCCGCAAACGTTTATCGTTTACAAATTATTTGAGATATAACTACGCGTACAAGGACCGCCGCAAGAGCGAGCGTTAACGGTCGAAAGCCATTAAACCCCTACTGCCCCTACTTCGATTTCTTTTATTTTTCTCGCTCTTATCCGGCGCTTTTCTCATTATCCACGGGTAATCGTATCCACCACGGTGCAATCGCGCACGCCACACTCCGAGACCCCGAGACTCGCAATTTCGCCGAGTAGCTGTCTCCCCAGAAGTGCACAAACCGTGTATAAATGTGCGTACTAATTTTTTGCATTTGCAATCAATAATATTGATCCAATAATTAAATACTTAACAAATGATTTTTATTGTTTTTAATCTGTTTTTAGATTAAAAACAATTAAAGTTTTATTATATGTATGGCAAAATTATTTTGATCAATAAAAGTTATTTCTTTTTCTCTTGTAAAATTATGTCGTAAATACATTTTGTTTTCGATCTCGCATAAATATGACAAGGCCCCCTTTGCACTAATCTATTAGATTACTATTGAAATTTTCTCTTTCCTTTACATCGAGATAATTGAAAAATTCTGTTTACACAAATACGGCAGGCGGAGCAAAAACAGTTCGGGAGAAGTTTTCGGCCGGTCGGAACTTGCCGTCGATATTCATCTTCACTTAAGTCAATTTCTGACTCTCATCCCCTTTCTGTCTCCCTTTCTATGTCGCAGTGGCTCGGTCTGGGCATCATGGCGGTGGGCGTCTGGGCATGGACCGAAAAGGACACCTTCAACAACCTGTCCCGCCTCACGAACGTCGCACTCGATCCAGCATTTATCCTCATTCTAGTCGGTGAGTACCGGTACTTTTCTCTCTCTTCCCAATTTTATTTTTTTTTCTCTGTCTCACTCTACGACTCGTATGAAGAGTTATTGTGACTTCGAGCGTCGACGAGCTAAACTTTATGAAGAGCG